TCTGCCTTCTTTCACCGTGTTTGCTCAAGCGTGGGACGAGAATAATAGCTGAAAAGTGGGCTGAGGATCTCAGTACGAAGGGGTTAAAAAACTGCCCTAAAATTGATATTCTATAATTTTTTGGAAATCCTTTTAATAGACAATGGTTCAGTGCCTTTTTGTACAACTGCAAATACTCAACATGGCACACACGAGTGAGGCACAGACTAATTACGTAAATTGTGACTTGTAACTGTAAATCTGTTTTGCACAAAAAAGTGCCGGGATGAAAACAGGATCTGAGACCATGAGAAGCAACATTAGGTATCTCCTTTGGTTATCAGAAATTGCCATTACTTTTAAATGAACAGTTGAATGAACACTTCAGTCCTCAACATGTCCACCATTTCTTTCCTGGCAGATTTGGGCCCTATTCAGCATATCGTACACTACGCTAGATCAAAGCTTTCACCTTCACCTTCATCACTATCAGATGATTAGACGTACACTACGCTAGATCAAAGCTTTCACCTTCACCTTCATCACTATCAGATGATTAGACGTACACTACGCTAGATCAAAGCTTTCACCTTCACCTTCATCACTATCAGATGATTAGACACCATGAACTTCTACCTGGAGATCAATAGCGACGAATGCGCCTCTGCGGATGGCTCCTTGCACAACCCCCATGATTCTTGGTCAATCTTATCATCGGGGATAAATCAGGCTTTGCCCTCAATACAGCAGTAAACACTCACAATATCCAAGAGTACTGCCCTCGTGGACACACTCCCCTTGATTTCCAGAATCCACATCGTGACAACAGACACAAACTGACTGTGTGGATATGTTTGGGAGGAAATTGCTGAATCGCCGGCCCTTTATGTTTTCACCATAACATGAAAGGAGAGGATTATCTGCAGATGAAGAATGAGGACATTGTTCCTGTCATTGACCAACTGCCCCTTTATCATCGCAACAGAAACGGCCAATTTCAGAAAGCCTGGTTGCCTTAACTGCGACGTAGAATGGCCCTTAAGTCGAAAGCCTGGTGTTTTGTTACAAGGCCCAGTTCCCTTTGTCAAATTTCAGAGACCCCGGCCATGCGTACAAACACACGGTGCATGAAACCGGAGTCCTTGGCGGCAAGTGGTTAAGGAATGCATAACGGCAGAAGTCAATTTTCTCAGAAGAGGCAGAGCTTTAATCCAACGTGCAGTACGATGGCAATTTCTGATAAACAAAGTTGGACTTTGCTTCTTATGGTCTCAGATCCTGTTTCCATCCCAGCACTTTTTCACGCAAAACAAATATATCGCAATTTATGTAATTAGCCTGTGCTCACTCATAATTACATGTAACATTTTGAGTATGTGAAAAAAATGGCACTGAACCATTGTCTATCAACCCATGTACAGGATTTTCAAAAAATTATAGAGTGTTAATTAATTTTCAAAGTGGGACTTTTTTTATATGCCCTGTTTTGCAGAATATATGTCACCTTCGATACCTACATGTACAAATGTAAAGTAGCACCAAAGTGTACAGAGACAGGGTGGGAATGCGCAGTGTGTGGGCCAGGAAAGGAATTATGACCAAGCCTGAAACAAACATTTTGAAGCAAACATTTAACCAATGAGTTGGACATCTAAAACATTTGCTGAGGATGTATCAACTACTCATCTGGATTCCTGGCTGCTGCTCATGTAGTTGTGTGAAGAACTCCTGGTTTGGAGAACATCTCCCTAGTGGCACAATGCAAAAGTTGACAGGTTTCTCCAACCTGTAGCCTGCATAATATTTGAAACAGTCATGCCCTGAAAAAAGAGATCTTGATGTTTTTATGCTTCAAGTCATAAACCTTGCCCTGAGATGTGTAAAACATCTGTGGAGGAAGTGGACGAGCCTCGCCTGCTTTAAGCCGGGTCTTGGGCTCAAGTGAGTCAGACATCAACGATGGATCTCACTGGCTCTGAAAATGCAGAATTTTATACAGCATTTGTGGCTCTACTGATGTTGCAAAAGCTAGTGAATAAGGCTGTGACCCACATACAGTAGCTGTTTCTGGCCTGGGTGAGACGGGATAGGAACTTATGGCCTCCACAATCCACCTTGCAATGATCAAGGCTAACGTTGGGTGATGTACACTAAATGTTGTAATAAACCGTTGAGTGAAGTCACCTCAGAGCTCTTTGGCACAGATGTCTGTAAGAAAGTGATTTGATTTTGATTTGGGAATCTGCCTGAGGGACAAGGTGTACACCTCCTTGTTCCCGGCAAAAGAGACTTCTTTCTACATGTATAGAGAATCCCTCCTGTGATGTGCTGTGGAGGACAACAGTACATGCATTTACGGTTGGAATGCCGCTTTTACTGTGAGGTTGTTAAGTGAAAAAGACCTTGCCAGTTTATGGGAGGCTTTGGATAGCTTCATGTGAACAGTGCAAAGATACCATTCTGAAATTTTGAATGGTAAAGGGCTGTTCAACAAAACATTTCCTTAATTAGGTAAGGGAAAGTAGCATTGTAGGACAGGCTAGATCCATTGTCAAATGCCTTATAAACTGTCCCTATTAATGTTCAGTGACCATGAATGGTGGAGACTTGTAGACTGGAGCGAAACACAGATGGTTGCTAAAGATGCAGAATGGGTATCAACCGCTTTTTTGTGTGTGCACAAAATTTGAGGTAAGTGCTGTTGCTGATTATCTGACAATCTCCTGGTTGACAATACATCCTTGTAGGCAGAGTGAGCTAAGGAGGGATGCACCAACTGAATAGCCGGAAAGTTAGCATACACTGGGAAGGTGAGAGCCACCACTGAAGCATTGTCTGTCTTGACACCAGAAAGGCAGCTGATGCCCCTGTCCAAAGTGGCCTGAAGTACTCACAGGACAGACAGACAGACATAAAGATTTTATGGCAGAGATGAGGATCCTGCAAGGGATGGGTTGTCTGGGTGTGCATGCCATTCTGATTCAGGAGCATTCGTTGAGAGCATTGCTGTTGGGCACAGCCTTGGGAGAGGAGGTTCTGAGGAGACACATTCCCAAATGTAGGTAAGACCAAATGGAAGGGTTCATCTGAACGGGGGTAGAGACAGCATTCTTTCAAGGAGAGTAGCGATATACACGAAGAGAAGATGAAGCCTGAAGGGGGCACATGTGCAAAAGGTAGTATGGTACAATATCCACCCAGTTCGCAAATAAGTCAAGGGGCTGGAGCTGAAGCAATACCCAGGTTGGGATAGAAAGATTCTCTGAGAAGAGATGAATGCATTCATGGAAGTCTAGGCAAAGCTCCATCGAGGAGGGGGACACCCCCGCCAGTCTGCAGGGTGAGACAGACAGGCCTCAAGGAAGGAAAGGTTCTGTGAGGGCCCCAAAAGGAGACTTGTCCAGGTTGACTGGGGAGTGATCCAGAAGGGGCCCCGAGGTTTTGCACGGTAAACCTCCACAGGTCAGCACTCATCGGGCAGCCTTGGTAGAGGAACACTTTTGATTAACTGCCACTCAGACGACCCCAACGCATGGACAAAAGAGTAATTTAAGCCTCAAGACAATCTCCTCGTAATCCTACATGTAATTTGATACCTGCCTTCCCAAGACGAGTAAACTCCTTTAATCCCTAATAGCAGCCACCATCCTTCATTGTCTGCTGTAGCTCTGTTGTTCCCTGCGCCAAAAGCTTCACCATGCGACCACTCATGCGTGTGAAGTTGACCTGCAGCTCAAGGATTATGTATGTATATTCAAGAGCCATTCATGCAGCCGAACCTCAAAAAACCTTAAGGTTTACCGCGCAAAACCCTCGGGCCCCCTTCTGGATCGCTCCCCTATGAAACAAGTCCAAAGTGAGTTGTATCACCCTTGACAAAGTGTGGTACGGCCAACAAGATAAGCCCATCATCAGCAAATCATTCAGGTAAACATATACGTGCTGACAGCAAAAAACCTTGGTGATCCTTGAGAAGACTTGTGGAGCTGTGGATAGGCAAAAAGGTACAGGTCGGAACTGGCAGGATGTGTTTCTATAAATGAATGACGTCCAAAGACATGGCAGGGATCTCCTTGCAGAAATGTTTCAATTAACTTCTTCTGAGTCAGGAAGAAGGTTGATGTGAAGCCCTCTGGAGGATTTATGAGAGGTTTTATCATTTACCGGTATGACTCTCTTTGTCGTAGAGGGAAAATCTTTGGCTTGCTTGGTCATGAGGAATGGGAGTAGTCACCGAGTTTGTTTACCCCTTTATGCTGGGATTCTTTTGACAGCTATAGGCTGGGCTGTGGTATGCCCAGTATGCAAAGCTCTGTCCAGGAGCAGGCCCCATTGAACCAGCAGCTGCATGGTGAACAGAATGTATGTGTGGTATGCACTAATCCTCACACAAAGCCGCGGCTGTCGACGGTTCCCGGTGCAAAGGGGTTTACAATTCTTGGTGTTTTTCGGCAATGAGAGCGAGCCAAAACACAAGGATTATGAAGATCTTCGCTACATAATTGATATCTGTAGCAGTTCAAGTGAATACGAAAGTCAAAAGATGATGATGGGCTGCCATCAGGATCAACATTTACTTATAGATTTCTGAACAGTCTTTTCCTTAACCGCAACTGACGCGGTTGAAAGTGTCGGAAATACAGTGTATAGCAAGTACAAAGTAACGACACGTCACTCAGGGAAAACGTGTGTACTCAACAGTGTGCACGATGGAAAAATGGGGCTAGCTATGGAAGGAATTGTGAGACGTGCTGTGTGTGCGGGTTGACGTCATATCTGTGTTATTTTCAGCAGTTATGCTTGCGCATGTGCATTTGGAAATATATTTGAACATGTACTGAAGGTGACATATTTTCTAAATGTGCAGAAGTATCACTGAAACTATAGCTACTTTAAATACCAATTATTTTATAAAAATGAATGCCACCAACTTCGCCTTAAATGCAAACTAAACTTCATTTGGCAGTTCAGTAACAAAAATAACTAGTGTTGTATCTGGATCAGGGGTGCCCCATCAAAGAAAGTACAATCTACAGTGTATATACAGGGGGGCCTTACCAGGGTACAACATGTTCTTATTTCATACACAATAGAACAGCAGCGACAGAACAATTTTCAAAGTGGGGGGGCAGTTGTTAGAACACCAGGCATCAGTCACTAAAAGGTCGATCCATTAAGCTCCACCCAATTATGGGACCCGCAAAAAGTGGAGAGGCAAGGCTCTCCTGGTCAAAAAAGTGGGGGGAGTGGCATTGGCCTCTCTGCCCCTCCCCCTTTTCCGCCAAAAGTGCAGTAGAATACCCTTACTATTCCAAGTGCACTACATTCTTACTTTGGTTGTGATTTTATTATTGTAAAATAATTTTTGAGCTGTTATTCAGTCTAAACAAAAACATGGGTTTACATTATATACATTGTATCCAGTGTGGACATTCTTCTGTTTCTGTGCAGTTAACAAAATATTCATTTTTTTCTGAACTGCAAAGGCTTCTTATTTTGTTTTGGTATGGTTTCCTTGGTTGCTTCTCTTCCTTTTGTTACAGATAACCCAACCATTTATTTTATTTATTCTGATATCCAACAGCGGAGATCCGCCACTTACAGGTATCATGGAAAACAAAACACTTATAGGGACAAAAGGGACAAATCCAAGTTACTTGTAAATAAATAAATAATTGTATAAACATAAACTTGAGTAAATACAGGTAAAAACCTGTGGCAGTTTACATGTACATAGTTGAGTTATGAGTGCAAAGAATTTCTGTAAATCTCTGTATGGAACGAATTCAATGTAAGCGCCCCAAACACATTGCACATCTCGTGGAGTCGGTTGTAGGCAGTTGAAATATTTGAAACAAAGCCTTGCTTCGTTACCTCCACCCGGCTCCACAGAACATGCATGATGTGTTTGGGAGCAGATCTGGTTCGGCGTTCTGGAACATGGAAGGAAAATGGGTTAACAGTAGTTAAATTATAACGGTTATGGATATGTCAATACAGGGCACCATCATTCATGGAGAACAATAATAATGCCCATTTGCCAATGCATCCTCTGCAAAAATGTCTTTCTGTAGCTAAATTGAAAATCCATGAGGACTTTAAGTTCTAAACACTTGCTAAATTGTTTTATTTGATGTGAGTGAAAGTAGGTTGATAGTATTCACTGATGTCTGGGTCAGGTAGGGTTTTAAGCCACTATGTGTTAAGTATTTTTGTCAAGGACCAAGTGCATGTTTCAGTGGTCCAGTGAAGCCCTATTTTCTGTGGGATAGTAGCTGAGCTCAGAGAGCAATGGCTGGTCAATTCAAACTGATGCATAGCTGTTTTGCATGTTTTGACCTGGGACATGATATCTGCACTCAGAAGTGCTACAAACGAGAGCACTGTAGCCCAAATTAAATCTACATTACACAGTCAATGGGAGAACCATCATGGATGCGAAAAAGGTTTTGTACACAGAAGAATGTATTTTTTTCAAGGTGCTCTGTCACAGGTATTTATGCATATAGTCGTGGAACGGCATTCATCATGGCCGCCACCATGCATGGTATGACACTTAATGAAAAAAATCAGTTTAAATCGAAAATGGGGTGGGTGGGCCGAATAATTTGAAAAAGAAATTGACATTTAAAAACATTGAAATAGTTTAAATGGCTTCTTTCTTGTCACAAATTGAAGTACATAAAGGACATTTAGTTGAAATATCAACCCAGGAAGGACAGTCTGGAACAAATCGGAGTGATTTGGAAACTGCACTTCAGACTCACCCACATGTGTGTATTTGCCTGCAAATAAGGACCCACATTGTTCCTCTTTTGTTCACACCAGTACTTAACTTAATTGGAAGACCTTCCATATATGATTGTCAACTGGGGACCCTCAGTAAATTGGGTCCCTATCAAACTGATTGCAAAAACAAATTCTCTCTCTCTCTGTCACAAGCACACCCACCCTTCCATCCTGGTCTAGGTGTGTACAAAGTTTACAAACACATATCAAACACACACACACATGTAATACTTCTAAAGTCATGAAGAACTCAGAGAACCAAATATACTCTGTGAGATGTACAATTTATTCAAAATTTAAGATAAGATGCTACCACAATATAAGCAGGTACCAAAAATTTAAGTAAAAAAGAAAAAAGAAACTTAAAGCAAACCTGAAATTTTTTCACAAACTGATCAGTAGTTTGAAGTCCAAGCCTTGGCTGGTTCAGGGGAAAGGACATGTGTTCTGCTCTCCTATTTGCTTGCACCACCTGATCCCATTTGGAAACTTCGTTTGCAGCAGCTTCATAAGCTACAGATCTTTGAACCTATAGCAAAAGAATAAAAGGGATTAATTGAGGGGTTAATTATAAATGTACATTCATAAACACTCCTAATTTTGAAAACATGTCAAGTGTCCACGTGTTAACAAAAATGCGGTCTGCATAGAAAGGGGTCTCGGAACCTGAATATAAGAACGTTTACTTTTGCATAATTTTATACATGCAAACATCATGTTTCTGCAGCAAGCACAAATATTTATCAGAGAAACTCTGCAGCAAATGGGTTTGAAGTTCACCACTTGCCGCTGGGGTTTCTGGTACCAGGCACATATTCTTTATATGTGTGGCCAGGACCCCCCCTCTCCCGAAGTTGGACAAAGGGAACTGGGCCTAGTAACAAAAGACTGTACTCATAACAAAAGACCAGGCTGCTGGACATTAGCAATATTTTTTCACTCTCAATAGTGGAGGTAATCCAGCCTTGTTTTGAAACAGTATACCATGGTTTTGTGGATTTAGGGCGAGTGGATTACCACAGGGGACAAAAGCGCTCCACCACCATTACATGCTAATCTGGCCCCCATTGAGAAGAGGTCAGCAGCACACTGTGCCAGGTTCGTGAACAACAGACAATTACATGTACGTAACATTGCACAATCTGGGCTCTTACAAGGCAGCAGGCCTGGCTGAAATACTCCAGCATCAATAGATGTTGTCTGTTAGATTAGAGAGACACCAAACAGTCCTTCATGTGGGTGTAAGTGTCCAGTAAATAAAGATAGGAATTTTTAAAGTATTTTGAAAACAGAAAAAAAAAGATAATTATTCCGTCCCTGCATTATCAACATTGATAACTGCCATCAGCTTGAAGTGGTTGAGAAAAACTTGGGCTAAAGTTAGAACAATTATTTAACCACTTCCTGCCGAGGACTCTGGAATTGGAGACTTACGGTTTATATGCGTAGCCGGTGTCTCTGAACTCCGACAAAGGAAACAGGGCCCTGTAACAAAAGACATACTCCCAACAAAAGACCAGGCTGCTGGGCATAACCGACATTTTTCACTCTCCAAAGTGGCGATAATCCAGCCTTGTTTTGAAACCGTATATCAGGCTTTGGGGCATTGAGAGCGAGCGGACTACCACCAGGGACAAAAGCGCTCCACCACTGCAGCGATGAGCCACACAGCACCACTGCACGCTAATCTGGCCCCTATTGAAAAGAGGTCAGCAGTGCACTGAGCCAGGTTCGTGAACAAAAGACAGTTATATAACACCGCACAATCTGGGCTCTGTTTACAAGGCTGCAGGCCTGGCTGAAATACTCGGGCGTCATTGAAGGTCACCTGTCAACTTAGAGTAGTGCCTAAAGATTACTTGGTGTGGCTATAAACGACCGTTAAATGAAATGATGAATTTTTGAAGGATTTTGAAAATGAAAAAAAGATAGTCAAGCTGGCCCAGCATCATCAACATTGAAAAATGCCCCGGCATGAAGTGGTTAAAACCGTTAAAACTAACCCTTGTCAAAAACTGTCCCACGTGGGTTCATAAATTCATTAATCCTGTTAAACAAGCAGGGTTAAGAAGCTGTAATGAATATTGTCTGCATTAGTATGGGAATAAAAGTCTGGTGGAGCATGTATAACCTTCATGTTCATAACTAGTAATGGGCCTGGTCACCAATGATGACCCAAGTCGCAGACCCCTCACCGGTTACACGTGTAAATCACAACTTTATACACAATCCACCAGACATTTTAGTCCCATTCACAAACATCCTTTTGAGACCCCTGGTGACGTCACTGTGACTATTTTATTTTGACAGCCTCGCTGGTTGATGGACCACCTACGCTCCCAAGATACAAAGTCACTCAGATATGAGTGCAATAGTCTTTGACTTTAGAAAAACGTGTACAAAACATATGGAGAAAAATTAAATATTCAAAATTCAAAAATAAATCATGTGATGACGTCATCCTGACAAATTTCTTCTAGGACCATCCTTGGATGATTGAAGGTCTGCCAAGTTTGATTGAAGTCATTCAGATATATAAAATTACCAAAGTCAACTGGTGGCAGAAGTTATGTACATGTACAAACTCTATGGGGAGAGAGTCTGAAAAAGGAAAAGCAAATGAGAGCTTATCTATCTGTTTGCCAACAGAACAGAGGGCTTTTTCGCATTCCTTTGTTAAAATTAATTTGAACAAACAATCCACTGCGTAAACATCAGCGCATAATTATTTCATCATGACCATTCAGGTCCAAGGTTTCAACCCAATCAGGCATATACTTCAGGAAACAACATGCTTTAAAGAGTGCAGTACATGTAATTTAACTCCTCATCTGATGAAGTCATCATCACATCAGGTAAATCTTCGACTACAGTAGAACATTTCCTTTTCTTGTTACATGTATCTGCAAAGTTTCAACTTGATGAAATGTGTACTTCTAGAGATAGAGGGCTTTAAACAGTGAACCTTGTCACGTGACTTATCACCTGATGTCATCATCACGAGCTCAATAATCGTCTAATAGAGGAATTTCACATTAGCGCCATCTGGGCATATCTGCATCGAAACCGAGGCTCTCTGTGTTGAACTTCATCGCGCGCGCCTGCGGAGCCCACACAGTACATGCAGTATCCAGTTCGAAAGTGTAACTCCACTCCAGTTTAAACCACGCCCACTGCACAAGATACATGACCATCACAGATACGTTAGTTCGTGGTACATTGCCGTTATTTTTCCTTTGATTTGACGCGTCAAGTCATCCTGAAAGACTCTTCCACAAAAATTTGGGATCCCTTTCAAGATATTTACCAAGTTCAACCCAATTGGACATGCACTTCAGGAGGTACATGTACATGTATAATACTTTAAAGTTTGCACCTTTAATGTCACATGACTCGTCCGTTGATGATATTGCAAGGTTTCAACTTGATCAAACATGCAAAAAACAAAGCACTGTTGATATGGAGAGAGTACAGATTTTAAACATACATGTACATGTATGTCCTTTTTTGCATTCCATACAATGTGATCTGCTCTCACCGCCACGTGGTTGAAAATTTGCCAACTCCTGAGTATACGTGATACACACTGTGCGCTGCCTACATGTAGGCAGATATTGCGTGTCCAGGCATACCGGTACAGTAGCAACTACACATTATGCGAATGAGATTTTCGAGTTTGTGAACATTGTAAGGGGGGTTTGTCATTGGCACTTCATCTGTGTGAAGACGTACACAAGTGATGCACTTCATGCAGTTGACGTCAAATGTTTTATATCATCTAATGGACAATTCAAGCTTAAATCTGTTATGGTTGATGTTTTAGTGAATTTTGAAGAATAAAATGACTTTTATTTTAACTTCCTGTCTGATTTCACACATGTGTTAAGTGAGTAAATATCATGATCCACATCAATTTTCAGGCGATTCAGATAAACTTCAGCACAGACATCTATCCAAACTTCACTTTTCAGAGTTTTTAACCTGTTGCTTGAGGGCACTAGAGAATTATTATATAATTATATCATAATTATTCTAGTATTATCTTTGCTTCAATGTCGTTCCTTTGTGTAACTTTGAGGAAGACTGAAGATCGCTAAGTTGCCAAAATTGTACTTTGAAAACGTGTAAAAGTCAATGTGCTGAAATAAATATTAAAAATTCAATAACAAATCACTTGTTGATGTCATCATGCCGTCAATGTTCTATGCACATCTTTGAACTATTAGTTCCTTTATTTATGTAAGTTTGATGAAGGTCTAAAGTTTCAACAGGTGGAAGAAATGTGCACAAAACAAATGGGCTTTTGGTAAGAAGAGGGAGGAGGAGGAGGAGGAAGGGGAAAAAAAAGAACAAAAGAATGCCTTATTCGCAAAATTGCAAAAGAGAAATACAAAACAAAAAGAATGGCTTTTTGGCAAAATTGCAAAAAACAAGTAAATAACGCCATAAGGGTGACCACTGGCCTGGGGAATAAAATTATCAGGCAAGGAAGGACTTGTAATATATATTTCCTTGTAAAATATATAAAAGGAAAGCACTGACTCAGCTAAAGCAAGGTCCCAGCCAAGCTGTACAAATAGTTGGGTGCAGTACAAAAAGCCTTACCAGGTATGGCAATGAATGTTTAGTAGTCATAAAGACAAACATAAAATGTAACTTTTCACAAAAATGTGACTACACAAAAAGACAAAGTACAACAGTACAACACTTGACTGTTTATCAGGATAGCACAGATCAGCTCTAGTGACATGGAATGCTAGATGAAACCAAGGTTGAAAGACATGTCCGTAAACGCACACAAAAAAAAGGATGAACATGGTGGCAACCACGCCTGCGGTGGCTTGATACAGGGCATATTACGGATGATAATATCGGTACATTTAGTGAATAAAGAACACTCGGGAAATACATATTGACTGTCTGGGTAAGTTGACAGTGGTGGACATACAGTGTTCTCCACAATCTTAAATTGTAGCAGGGCAGCACAAAATGCCAACGTGGAGTGCAAAGTCATTACGGCGTGGGAATCGCAGCCCCCTCAAGGCCCCCAGGAAATTTTGGATTCTGTATGCTCTGCGGTGCAATCTGACGTATTTTCCTGGGCACTTTCCTCTGACTCCTTGGATCAAATTTATCTCATAGCAGTTTGAAATGAAGACAAGATCATTATCGGGAGTTCATCAAAAGTTGATTTTTTTTCTGGGGCACTATCTTTTTTTTACTAATCGGAACTGTCCATTGAGCAGTTGGTTTGGGGGATACATGTACGTACGTGGGCACGACGTGAGCGGATGATGTACAGTTGCTTCCCTAATTCTGGATCTCAAAAATAACTCCATGGTCAAATTCCTTCGACAAAATCCTATAACTCGGTGAAATCTCATCAGCATTCCACCTTGTCTATTGGAAAAACTACAAAATTACTTTACAGCTTTTAATTTTGACTTGGGGATCGTCAAAAGCGACAACACTTTTTCAAGTTCTGAATCAGTTGAACCAGATCCGAAAACGACAATTTTTTTCTCATATAAAAAGTAACTATGCGAAATATCCATTTTCAACCAGCCATTGTAGCAAGCTGATTTTCTAATTATGAATTTCTTGATTTTGAAATAACAATTTTAGTGAATTTGAAACGAGAAACTTTTGAAAATTATAACTCAAATTTTTCAGCTGTGCTGTGAGCAATCAGCGACGATCCCCTGCACTATACAGTTGATGAACCCATTATGTCCCATACACGTACATTTCTGTTATGCCCATGTTCTCAACGTATGGGTGTACGTGCGTGCACTTACAGTGTAATTCATAACTTGGAAAAATATGCATTTACATGTAGTTTTTGGCCAATTCTTAGTAAAAAAAAAACCCGGAAACCTCCAACAGTCATTTTGATTAAACATACATTAGATGCAAAACTTTATACATGTAGGTCTCATATGTACAGAATGACCAATCACACTATATTTTTGGGTCAAATTTTTGGTTCTCGTAATTTTTAACTAGGAGATTGGAACACGTCCAGAATTTTGTGCTTATGTGTACTACACTGCATCTGGCTTTGATCACAAATGCTGTGAAGAGCTACACTGTTGTACTGAATACTGATGGCAACTTCTCATGTCTGTTCCATAAAGAACAGCAAACTTAGATAAACTGTGAAGACAGTGGGGAATTGGGAAAATCCAACAGAAAAAGTGACAGGGTGGTGAGAATTCTGGCGGGGAGGCAAAACTTTAGCAGGCCAGTTTAACATTTTGGCAGCCCCCTGCTAAAACCCCTCATGGAGAATAATGGATATATCTGCATATCTGGGCACATGATTCCAGTGGCATAACTGCAGGGGGGCATGGGCCCCCTGGGTGCCTGCAATTTGAAATCCATGAACAACTTCTACTCATTGTCTTTTGGTGCCCCTTGAAAAAAATTCTGTGCACCCCAGGGTGCCCCCAGAACATAATAGCCCTAGTATGATTCCTGCATGATTCCAGTGTTTTTTTTTTCCTTTCGTGAGTGCGCTTTTTGAGATTACAAGAGGTGCTTGTGAGGAGAACGATTCATTGGATATCCTCTTTCCCGTTTGAGGTTTGTTTACCAGCGTGCATGCTCATGTATGAAAGTGCTTGTGCTGACACTGTTGTCCCGATGCCCACAGAAAGGGGAAAATTTCTGGTTTGCATGATGCCCACTCTGTGGTCAATTTCCAGGAAGGCTGAAATAGGCTTTTAGACTGAGAGACCTCTCCACAGTTTGACGGCAACGGGAATCGGGTGTGGGTATATACATGTAGGCTCAGCAAATTCTTGGTGGATCTGTACATGTTGCAAGCAGTTTTTAAGCAACGACTCAAGGAAACCTTGATTTCACCGTGAGATTCTACATTCAGTAAAAGGTGAAACATGAAAGGAGATCAACATTTATTTAACAAAATGCCACTTTTCAATGTTTTTATTCTGAGTTTTTTTGCGCATACTTGGTCAGGTTCATTGGATTGTGATTCAAAGTCGCTATACCGAACAATCCTTTTACCAATCATTTGTTGTGTTGGCAGCATTCCACTTTACCTACATGTACATGTAAATTGCACAAAAGAAATGAGAATGTCCTCTACCATGTGATATTGGTCTTTAATACAGCACGTGTTGTTTTTCCAGAATTATAAACCAGCAGTTGCAGACAGAGCCAGCAGTAAATAAAGGTTTATTTCATTTGATGCAGTAAAAGTTACACAAACTGGCAGGTCAACGGAGGGGTACTACATGTACTTCATTGGGATGGTTGTACAGATGCCCCAACCAATGTGACCATAAAACCTTTTAAAAAGATTGTAAAAAGATTCTCCAACAGATCCTGTCTTTTGAGTGGCTGAGGACCAATCACATGGCATTGACTATTTTAGCTATCTTGTCACTTCCAGCACTTTCTGGTTTGATGAGGTAATCATTTCAAAATGTGGCCCTGAGCTTACTACACGTAGAAAATAGTAATTGTTACAATTAAATATTTTACAATAGCCTATAGCCTTTAACAGATGGTAGTATTCCATTTCAAACTTGATCCACGTAAAAAAATTACTTTTTTCAGCAGAATGCAAAGTTTTTACAGTGAGACGCAACAGTCTTCTGCATGGTTGGTCTTCATTATTTCTGTCACTTTGCTAGCCATTAGTTCAAAATTAGAAAATCATTTCTTAATGAATCACACTGTAGTTCTAAGACAATAGACTGTATCAGTGAGTGATGTTTGTTACAACACTAAGCTATGGCATATGGCTTGGAGAGGGTTTCAAGCACACTTAACCTCCACTACCAGTAGTTTTGAGCCCCTATGTGTGCAAACACAATAGGAATCACTCAAAGAGTGGGGATGACTAAAGATGCCACTGGGTTCTACAAACATACATGTAATTCACCTGAATGTGGTTAAAGGTCTTAGTGTGATGGAAACAGAAGATCCCTGCATGTCTGCACATCATCCAAAGAGGAATGTGTGAAATGATACTCATAAATACCTTAGACAGGTTCCCAACTCAACAATGCGCAATGTGACCCTGTATTAACCACTTCCTGCAGGGCGACCGTTTTCGAGTACATACATGTAGGCTTTACATGCAGAGCCGGGGAGCCCAGAACTGGGACAAAAAGAGTTGGGCCTTATAACGAAAGACCGTGCTCAGCACAAAAGATTGAGCTGCTGGGCATTACCGACATTTTTTCGCTCTAAATAGTGGAGAAAATCCAGTCTTGCTTTGAAACAGTATACCATGGTTTGAGGCATTTAGAGCGAGCGGATTACCACCGGGGACAAAAGCTCTCCACCACCGCAGCAATGAGCCATACAGCACCACTTCAAGCTAATCTGGCCCCTATTGAAAAGAGGTCAGCAGTGCACTGTGCTGGTTTCAGGAACAAAAGAATCTTACGTAACACCACACAATCTGGGCTCTTTTTCCAAGGCTGCAGGCCTGGCTGAAATATTCAGGAGTCAATGAATTTTAGTGTCAGCTTTAGAATAGTGCCCAAAGAGTCCTTCATTTTGGTATAAATGGCCATTAAATGAAATGATGAATTTTTGAAGAACTTTGAAAATGGAAAATCTTGAAAATGAGCAGGCATCTTATCTTGTTCAAGAAAAATCCACCCGGCAGCAAGTGGTTAACATTTGAGAATGCCCGCTGCATAAACATGTGCTGGCACCTGGATACAACACAGTTTAATCTATACCTATTCGACAACAGGCTATATGCACTGCGCCACACATGCACCAGGTCCATATAAGGAGATTCTTCTGGACTACTTCCACAAGGAATATACCGTAACATGGACGGGGATGTTTGGGAAAATAAAAGTAAAAACCTTTGGCAAAAATCCTTGGGAATTTATTGCAAACTGACTTTTTTGACTCTCTGACTAAAATGGTATTATGAATGGAAATAAATATGCGTTTGGTTAGTCTTAAACTAACATTAAAGCTCAAGCAATAGTAGTGTCCGTTCTCCTGAGCTGGACACAAGCCAAGAATATATTAGTGCACCTAGTAAAAATGAGATTTTCTGTAAGTTTTCTGAAACCTCAGATACTAAAGCATCCTGTACCGTTGCCTTACTGTAACTGCAGTAGTACAGTGGGTGGCAGTGTTGAAAAAATAAGCTACACTGTACAAGTCAGGCAGAATGTTTACTGTATAACTGATGCTAGAAAATGGAGGTGTGGTTGTCAGAAATGAATACAAATTTCAGGTTAAAATTTATTGCATGTTTTTAAGATTCAGAGGAATTTTCGTGTTCATTGTCCAAAACAGACTGACCCTTTAATGCATTACTGACCCATTGGTCCACTTTGGGAAAACTAAGATGTGGGGAAAATCAACCCTTTAAACAGAATATATCACTCCGTAGCAACTGGCTCCTGATGGGGAAAATTCTAGGCGCCAGCACTTTTATGAAAGTTTAGTTATCACGTGCGCTGAATATTAGTATAAATACCCTATTTTTACACCGTCCATCCATGCTGTAGAATCATGACCCGTCATGGCCCGGCGCATGTACATCACACAACTTGCATGTACATGTATGTACATGAGTGCCAATGAGGTCAATCGACGAAATCAGGGTTCTTGCCAAGGGGTTCAGTCACGGACGTTATGATCTCCGTAGTTTCAGCATGTCAAGGGACACCCTGCTGCATGAATCGCAGTAATTTCGACTCTACATTACAGCGACACCTTTAAAATCCGGCATAAACTCTGTTTCAGGCTTCACGTTGAAGCGAAAAAGCAGAAAAAAATGGGGCCCATGCAGCGGTTTGTAAAATGGCCCTAGTGTCAGTATACAATGCATCAACAATGTATGTTTAGGTCAGGAACCAACCAAAACATGTGTGTGATCATAATTGCAACACATGTAGAATATCGTATATGGATATGTGCAATGAACATAGTAAGCTTTATATCCACGATGCGATTTGTGCTGCCATTTTTACTTTTCTGGAATGAATTTTGAGTACATAATCATTGCTTTTTTATTTTTAAGCATATTCAAAATTGTTCAAGTACATGTTGTATGCAGGTTTCTGAGCTATCTTAAGTCGCAAATGGCGACTGTATGGTGAAAATATGATCACATTAGCAAAATTTGGTTGCATTTGCGACTGATTTAGGCGCTATTTAAAGCATTGGGGAAATACAACGTGAGAAAAATATCGGTGTCTTAAACTTTTAAATTCTACAAGTCAGTACCTGTAAAACTTACCTTTTGTGCATCATGCTTATGTAAAGGTGTTGCAAGAACTTTCTGAGTTTTCTGAACACTACTCAGCTGTTTCTTGAGCTCTGAGTGACTTGGCGTATTTGACAGAGAACTCATCAACTCATGCATCTTCACAGATCCACTTTTGTCTGGAATGACGTAGAAGAAAGTAACTATAACAAATCATGCAATTTCAGTGTTTTTGAATGTTAATTCCTCATAAAACTGGCACTTGACCCTAAAGGACCCAGGTTATTTCTGACCATCTGAGGTTGGGGGGAAGGAATATTCTACCCCTAACAACTTGATTGACCCATGCCTGATATTTAAGAACTTGGAATACATACATACAAACATTCCGAACCCTAACACTCCTCAGTCCTCCAACAGGTGAAGGATTGAGGAGGGTTAGGGTTAATCAGTACAAATGTGAAGTTTCAATTGAATCTGACATACATGTACATGTACATGTAAGGTTTTGTTGTTACAGTTACCGGTATTTGAAACTAAAGGCTGCACGCATGCCAGCCTGCGTGCAGCAACCATGTGCTGCTTTACACACGAAATCAGGGAGCCTGAAGCCGCACAAAAAGAGCTACCGGTACATGTAGGCCTTATAACAAAAGACCATGCTCGGAACAAAAGACCAGGCTACTGGGAATTGGCAACATTTTTCAGTTCTCAATAGTACAGGAAATCTGTCATTGTTTCAAAAGATAATACCACTGTTGGTGGCATTCAGCACGAGCAGATTACCACCGGGCAAAAAGTGCTCCAGCGCTCCAGTAATGAGCGATGTAATACCGCTGCATGCTAATCTGGCCCCTATTGAAAAGACGCCAGCCGCATATCGAGCCAGGTCCAGGAACAAAAGAAACTTATAAAAACACCGCACAATCTGGGCTCTTATTACCAGGCCTGGCTGAAATACTCGGGCATCAATAGATTAGAGTAGAAACCGGACAGTCATTCGCGTGGGTGTAAATGTCCAGTAAATGAAGTTACAGTATGATTTTTTGAAGAATTTTGAAAACGGAAAATCTTGAAAATCTCCCAGGTTACGTCATGCAACTTCAACTGGTCTGACTCAAACAATGGTGTTTCGCCAGAACAATAGGTTTGATTATTAACAAAGTAGTGTCAAAAGAACTGCAAAGAGTCACTGAAAAAGTCCTCAAGCCTCAGCATGTGAAAAAAACAACACTGTGGTGATATCACATAAAATATGGGGGGAATGCATTCTGCCCCCTTTTCCCTTTCCTTTTAGGGCTACAACCTCATCTTATGCTTTGAGACACACCGTAGTGAAAAGTCATCAAACATCAATTTACATGTAGCATCACTGAATTTAACATAATGGTACTTTGTGTATTCTTTATGATATATTCTTGTTAAAGATCGACAGGAAATAGTAGCTTAGGGGGTCGTCCAAAGTTTTCAACATTTTCACAGTAGTACATACAATGTACATGTACAGTACTATTTTTCAGGCCCCCTTCCCCCAAATTAGTACTTATCAACATTTTTCTATTGGTATTGTGAAATAGCAACAAACTCCCGTGGGCAATACATTGTTGGACACATTATTAATAAAAGAAACGACAAGTCTGTAAAGAAACATTTTTCTCATCTATGATGATCTCGTGCACATCCCCTGTACTAAATTATGTCGGTAAAGATGGATACCAGGTTGGGAACAATGTGCCACAGTGTCAAAGGTTATTTAGTACAGTACATGTACTGTACTGTACATGTACTGTGTGTTTGCGCTCATAGGCGGGCTTCACGTACATTGTACATGTACTTGTACACATGCCGGCTGAGCATCATATCAATGTGGTATGCACCGGGCTGTGCCAAGGCGGGTAGGCCTACAGTCCGTGGAAAGTACTTGCACTTGCACAGTGCATACGAACCTTGCACATTTACTCTGTCGCAGCCAGCTTTCAGCACGTGACTGGTGATTACATCTAATGCGTGCTTTTTATTGATTTTTCACGTTTTACATATAAATAATACAACTAAAAAAATCAACATTACACAGGATCCGAAAATTCAGATGCAGCCTATGACCCCCTCCCCTTTGTACATTTTTACGCCTGTGAAAATGTTGAAAACATTGGACGGCCCCTTAATGAGGACCCTTCTTCTCACACTAATTACTAAAAAATAGACGCCAATTACTGTAACTTTTTACCACGTGTCAAGCATAAAACATTTCTATTTACATACCGCCTGGACCACTGAAGTTGAACTCTGAAACTTCTCCACTTGCTTCTGACCGCTCCATTATTCCAGCCTAGGTGTTCATCAAAACAACGAAACATGAGACAGTATAAAAGTGTTCCTCCGCCTTAGTTCCATGGACATAATTTTTAGGTGTGTGACAATAACATTTAATTCAGAATTGTTCGGAATAAAGAAAATATTATGTACAAGTTCCTAATCAAATTACACATTATTATATTCATTTTCTCTCTGTGATTTTTTAACCAAATTATTGTCATGAGAAAAGTTAGCAAATGTATGAATATACCTGTATTTACAATTCATATTAAGAATCAATAAAAAATGTGCACAAAGAATAATCATTTCCCATGGTATATAGTATAACGTGGCATACATGTACTTGTTTAGCCAATTTGAACAACACATAGTGTGCATTGTCAGACAGGTGGTGTTGCATAATAGGGCATTGGCTCAGGGTATAAAAGTGAGAGACTGTCCTAGTGCAGTCACTCTCTGGGAGCACTCCAAAGGACTACACTAATATTGTGTCAGTGCGTTGCCATTTTCTACCATCATGGAACATAAGCTGTATTTGTGGAAGAAACAGTGAGGCAAGTGGTGGCCAATTCTCAGGCCACACTTTAGACAATCTGGACTGTCTTACATGGCCAAATCTGTTGCGTTCTAATCAGTAGACACTCAGAGAGATTTCTGACAATCAGTTGTCAAAAGTTCAACAAAATATCCTTTCAAATGACATCTAAAGTTTAAAAAAAAAAGGCTGCGAGGACAAATACAAATTCAATGTCAAAGAAACAGCCAAGCTCACCAAAGCCAAAGCCAAAATAAATGATGACAAAGATATTCAACAGGCAGCCAAGACATTGCATAAGGTATAGCCCTCCTGAAACACAGGCAGAAATTGATCAGAATGGCCAATTCTTCCGATACCAGGTGGCGAATTGTCAAGGAGTGTGAATCTAACCCTTTGGCATCTGATTCCGAGGACGAAAAGAAAAAAATAGGGCTGAAGCCAGAGCCACCAAAAAAACAGAAGCAAGACCAGAAGAACAGAACAAAGAGTGGGTTTTCATCTTGGCAGTCAGCGATGCCAGCTGCGCTGACGAGATCTGCTGGTAGCCAGGCCACTATGAGGAGCACGTCATTAGCGTGAAAGTCGGGTCTGTGCTTCAACTATGGACAGCCTGGGCACTGGAAGTGCGAGTGGCACAGAGAGAACAAGTGACCAAACTGGACAAGATACTTGGCAATTTTGCCTGTTTAGCTAATAAGAACGAACAGGTTCTTGATAAACATGAAAATAAAATGTTATTATCGACCACAGGGAAATTGAAAAAATTCCTGAAATGGATACAAGGAAAAGGTAATGCTTTGGCTGACACTTTAAGCAGAACATCTGATAGTGATGATTGGCAAATACAGATTATTTAGGTCTTCGATTATTTACATGTACATAGGGGCTGGGGGCCCCATTAAATAGACAGGTTTGCATCTAATCTCAATGTAAAATGTAGAAGGTTCAATTTCCGGTGGTGGTGCCTGGGGACGGAGGGGGTAGATGCATTCAGTCAGAATTGGTCACATGAATGTAAAGTGGTTGGTTCCCCCCTCAAAAATGAATTTTGAGAGTACTCAAGCAAAGGCAGAAGGAAAGGGCAAAAAGTTCTTTGGTGATTCCTCTGTGGAAATTGGCCCCCCTTTTGGCCATTCATAGTTGCAGATGGTTAAAGGCATGTTGCACAAAAATACTCCCAAAGAAAAATTTAATAATGGTATTTTTGGCGGCCAACATTGATGCACACTCTGTTCTATTCTCACAGGTATCAGTCTAAAGCAAAACCTCAAGGAAGCTCTTGGGAGAGGTGGAGTTACAGGGGCAGTCGATGTAGCAGACAAGATGAGTAACTTCCTGATGGCCTCAAGAAGTGACAGCACCATAAGCAAGTAGTATAGCAGCTTTAGGACATGGTAATGCTTCCGTGTCAAGAGCAGCTTCAAGGATTTGCCAGTTCAGCCCATCCAGGAAGCAGTGTATCTAACAGAATTGGTTCGGGAATGAGCAACACTTCATGTCATTTTCACCAACAATGTATGGAATCAAGTTGGCACATGACATCAGCACTTTCTAGATCTCACTGACAATACTTTTGTCAAACCTTCATGGGTCAGCAAAATGAATAACGGGTCAGCAAAATGAATAACGGGTCATAAGACTACCAAAAAAGAAGTCACTTTAGATATGCTCATTGGGCTCTCTAATAAGTTTCAAGATAGTAATGATTTGATTCTCAGAAATCTCAGTATGATATCTATGGCTTTTGCAGGATTCTTAAAAAGATGAAAGTAAAGATGGCTACATCACTGGACTCACTGGAAAAAAGCTTAAGGTTACACAGTGTTTTGGTTTGTAGATTGTGTTCAAAGACCAGATCAGATGGAAAAAAAATCGCACAAGAAACTACAGAAGGGTACACAGGAAAATAGCCATAGCTTGCAAGTTTTCGTTAGAATAATGAGTCACACACATCTTATGCAGTTTGTTCCTATAGTTTTCCCATAATACTTGTTTTATTGTTAATTGGCTAAGAGATTATATATGTACCAGTTCAGTTTGGATTGTCTGCTCAAAATGATGAATTCAGACAGTTTTGGTTTGACAAATCTAACATATTGAGATTTGTCTTTTCCTGAATATTGCATAAATATATTTGGTAAGAATTTAAAAAATTATTAAAAGATTTTTTGGAAGTAGGCAGAACAGCACAGATGAGATTCAAATTAGAGCATACAGACCGGAACTCAGCAAGAGTGAAGATTTTACCAGAGAAAGTCTCACTTAGTTGGATGTGGTTCATTTGCTGTAATTCAGAGAATTAATCTCTCCATCCACGAAAATGGTACACGATACAGTCTTGGTGTATAGCTTCTAATTTCAATGCAAAATTTGAAAGGGAGTTGACTTGAATGACTAAATTAATACAGGTCGAATTTTCCATTCTGTAGTGCTCCAGGTGTACAGTTAATAATGTTTTATGTATACTTGCTACAAATTGGTATCTCAGTTTCCAAACCCTTGCAGGGTTCTCCCCACGTAAAAACTTGCGTATTGGGCCCGATACGCAATTATTTCTGCCCGATACGCAAAAAACGGGCCGATACCCATTTTTTCATCCCCGATACGCACAATATAATTATGAGAGTATGGTTCAGAGTTATCTTACATAATGCAATCTAGATTGCATGTCCGGAAAATCTAGATGAAAAAAGTTTAGTCTTGCATTTTTCCATGTATTGTACATGCATTGTGCACCACGTGTCGGCGGCCACACTGTACTGCACACCGTACATACAGGGTCATACTACATGTAATCAGTGTCAACACACTGTCAACATGCGTCAACACATTGATAGTAACGTTAACACACCGTCAACACTTAAAAAATGCATTGAAAACAGATGTATCGAACTGTAACGTATATGCTTAGGAATAATTTCTATTTAATCAAGTTTACATTTTACTACATTTCAAGGGAGTTTTTTCACGCGAAAAAATTGTCTCTGAGCAGCGCCACAGTTCGCCGCCATCTTGCCTTCTCACGGCGTTTGGACCGTACCATGGTTTACTGTATAAAGGTGACCCCCTGTAGCATAATGGTATGGTCCGTCTGACCAAGAAGCAACATGGCTAACGTCTTTTGTGGCTGTGCGGGGGGTGTTATTTTTGTGAAATAAAACGGCTTTTTCCCCCAAATGTCGCCCACTGTTGTTAGCCAAATTGTATTTTAGGCATTATATTGCTATCGAATTGCATTTCTGTTAACTTAGAACATGATTTTGGTGTGTTGACGGTGTGTTGGCATTACTATCACGTGTTGACGCATGTTGACGTTGTGTTGACGCTGTGTTGACATTTATTAGTACGACCGTACATTACATGTACATCGGCACCGAACTTTCCTTGTGGCCTGTGTTGCATGAAATCCGAACTTTCGTAGTAGTCCAGAAAGGAAACTGGTGATTTGTTAAAATACTAATATCCAAAATTTAAAAAAAAATATTGAATTTGTTTTGTTTTTTCCTGAGAAAAGGTACTTGAAAAACCCAGGAAATACTCTGAAATGCAGCTGAGAGCACCTATAAAGTCCCAAAATTTTCGAGGCCCTTGGGCGGGGTCCGAACCCCACGCCATGGCTTTGCAAAATGTTGGTAAACCACAATGGAAATCCCCCCAGTTTTGAAAAATCCTGGGGAGAACCCTGCCTTGCTTCATATTTTTCTATTCTTGGCACTCAAAGTGCTCAGCTATCACCTAAATGTAAATTGTACAGCTGCACTCACTTGTTATGAGAATAGATAAGACTATTTCTAAGGACGGATTTGTACCAGGAGGTATTAATTAATTTTAGATTTTCACCCTGCCCAACATGTCCTATTACACTATATACCCAAGTGTTTGCCTTTGAAGGCTTTTGAAAAAAACTACAATCGTACTTGGGTGGGACTCAAACCCACGACTCCCTGCTTACTAGTGCAGACGTCTTAACCATTCATCACTGAGCTTGCGGTGTAGGCTGGCTGGTTCAAATCAGATGTAGCAGTGGTGTGTACCAGTTGGTATGCGTATGAGTTGACCAGCACTCAAACAAAATGGCGTAATGAATTCATCTTTCCCTGAACTCAGGTAAAAAAATCTGGTTTTGTTGCTTAAATATTGTCAAAATTTACCCAAATTAGAGCTACTACCGTGGATTAATTAAGGAATGGATCCTCAAGGTTTGTATGTCAGCATATCAGTTAGTTTGGAAAACTGAACTTTGTTTCCTAGGAATGGGCATATATAACAGGGTACTTATGGTAATGAACACCCATAATATAATCACTTTACGACGGCTGTTACTTTTTTACGCCTATGACATTTTAGGGGAAAATTAGCACTGTGCGTGAACTCTTTCCTCGGTTTCTTTATCCGGCATCCGGATATATACATGTGCAGCAAGGCAAGTGTAAGTGGGCCATACTTGTCATGTTCAGAATCTGAACATTGTAACGGGATATTCCATGTGATTACATGTCCTTTCAGGTTCACCTTAGATTTGACCATTGCATTATGGGAAGATTAGAGTAGCTTCTGTCCTTTCGTGTGCATGCCTTCAGTCATGCCGCATCATGTGCAGTGTTGTAGTCGTCGAGACTGGTCTTGGTCTCGAGACCAGTCTTGAGACCCAGTTTGAAGGTGGTCATGGTCTTGAACATGCTGGTCTTGGTCTCGAATCATTGGTCTCGGTCTTGGTCTTGCACCTCCTGTTCTCAGAATTTTCGGCCGAGACCAGTACAAGACCAATTTAATAATATACTTTGCACCCTTTTATACCTACATGTAATTGGTGATGAATTTCGATGTTTGTAGACCTATGAAAAACTTTAATTGAGACCAAGCAAGATGTACGTACGGCCTTTAAGGACTGTACGTACGAGCATTCCTTGTGGCTACAGCTAGCAGTAGCATGTCATGCGCAAACTTTACCCTTGGCGTGAATTACATGTGCACCCAACTTAAAACTTGCGCAGCCAAAGTTTAAAGCTTTTGCACTCGCAGTTAAACTTGCGCACACAAAGTTGAAGCTTGTATCAGGAAGAAGATAGCGTGTGACAGCCCCCAAATAATTGCCACTGGTTAACGGCTGTAAAAAGATACATGTATTTCATCGGGTTACCTGAGAACCCGTAGTCACATTGCGTGATCTGGTAACTAGATGCTTATTTATGAACTGTTTGTTGATCTCAAACTTGACTAACAAGACACCATTACGTGATAGTGTTTTTGGCACAATGTGTGCCACCGCGAGCCTTTGCCTTGGTGGTGCATAAGTCGTTGATGTCATGATTACTGGAACGTCTTTTCCGACTTTCATGTCTGGCAATTTGGAAATCATACATTACGCATTCAACTACCACAAGGAATACGTTGGTGTCAAACAGGAAGAAAAAAAAAAGTTGCTGTGTGTGTTTTTTGCACGAAAACCCAGCATCAGGGATAAGGCAGGAACAACATCTGCCTTCATCGAACACATGCACTGCCATCACCCCATGAAGTACGTACGTGTACCAGGCTACTTCTAGAAATGATCTTTCAGTCCTCATGTTTGCCATGTTTGTTTAAATTTTTAAAGAATCTAAAAAGCTTAAATGTTCGAACAATCAAAAAATGTTTCGTGTATGATTTTTAATGGAATGCGATGCGGTGTTTGCATTTCAGTCCCTAGTTTGAAATGAAAATAAAGTGGTTTAATTTTATCACTTTAAAATGAATTGAGCTGAAATGCATAAAATTACGAAGTGCCGTTATTTTTCGATCTTAATTTTTATTTAGGCCCCATTTTTTTCTTGTTGCATGTAAATGTTCTTCAGACTTCAAGATTTTTTATTTTTCAAACTCACCTGCTTGCCCAAAGTACATGTAAATCTAGCCTCACTGGTGTGGCACGGACTTTCACTCCCGCTCCATCCTTAGCCACACATCCGTATACGCAATTTCGTGTCGGCGTACGGAAATTTTCGGCGCACCCACTTATTATCGTGGGCGCAATTTCTTTTGCACACAGAGATGATCCATAGCCTCTCCGCTTTCTTAGCGCCATTTACTGAATGATTTCACTCGCGCTGTTCTGGTATTTTCCAGTCTTTATTTTAAAGTTGGTGACTGTGAGACCAAGTCAATGAGATTGAATAGGTGAAGGCAAAAACAATGTGAATGAAATCATTCAATAAATGGCGCTAAGAAAGCGGAGAGGAAAAGGATCATCTCTGTGTGCAAAAGAAATTGTGCCCATGATGATAAGTACATTGTAGGTGCGCCGAAAATTTTCAGTACGCCGACATGAAATTGTGTATATGGATGTGTGGCTAAGGATAGAGCGGGAGTGAGAGCCCATGCCACACTAGTGGGGCTAATGTAAATCCTACTACTGTCTCCGTGTGAACCTTGTAATAACATTTAACACAGATGGATTACAAGAATGTGCTGCCTGCCATACCGGGCAAAAGGTCCCCAGTGTTTACGAATGAGAAATAAAATAGGAAATTTATTGAAATTTTATTGTGCCTTTAGGTCAGTAGGTTGCATTGATTGCATGCAATATGCATGTCACGACATTCAGAGCAGGTAAAAAAGTAAACACATTATTGAAGAATTCAAACTGCAAAGTAACAACAAAAAAACAATGCTAAATTCCAGGACAATTCTGTCAGACTTAATGCATACATGTCGATCTTTGGTTTATAGCCCATCTTCACAGTTTTATGTCAATGTTCAGAGATGATTTCTATCCATTTATTTACAAATGTGGTCTTGGTCTCGGTCTCAGGTTACTTTTTCTGGCCTGGTGTTGGTCTGTTCAACTGTTGGTCTCGGACTGCCTGGTCTTGATTACAACACTGATCATATGTAATCACACTCTGTATATAGTGCAAGTAAACTAATCAGAATGTAGCACAGAGTCAAGAAGAATCCTCATTCTCCCCCTCTCCGAACCTTCCTTCCTCCATGATCCAACCGTCATATTAGTATCACGACCAGATGTTAGTGAGCACGGCGGGGCGAGAGCCAAAATTGGCACATCGAATGATGAAATTGCCTGTGTGTTAACTATGGGCTAACATGGCTAATAAATAGTTACAGGTGTGAAACTGATATCTAGTGACACCACTCCCATTCTTACCTGCTTACCGAGGCCCCCAAACCTCACAAAATTTCACTCAATAGGCCTAAGTAGAGAAACGTCTACGCCACCCACGTGTTCACACACGATGCGACATGGCACGTAAACCTACATGTACATGTAGCTCGTCCATTGATGCATCACATTCTTCATTATAGATAGGACACGGCGCCCTCACTCGTGTTTCATCGGTGAGGGTTTGAAAGTTTTAATTGCGGTCCGAACACGACACGTAGTATATGTATGCTGTGCACAGGGAAACTAACCTGGCTGAATTTTGTTGCTCTAATCTCTATCTCTTTTGCTCCAATCTCTCTCTTTTTAAGGAAACTTTGTTGAAAAATTGTTTGGACTTGCACGACCGTTTGATATCCTCAGTCCGGACTGTCGATAACCACGCGGCTGGACTTGCCTTTCAGTCGTAAGTTTCATTTTTTTAAAAACAAAAAACTATAATGATCGGAATAGGTATAACCAACGTGAAAGTGAATTTAAATTCTTCGATAGCGGGGGTTATCTTTGTTTTGTTTTGACTATACAACTGGTTGTCTAAAAAAATGTATAAGCAAAGATTCAGTGATCAGTTTCTAGTCAAATTTCAGAATTTTAAGAAACACACTTGAGGACTGAGGCGTATTCATTTTGCCAAGACAAATAATTCGTGGAAACCATGATATAGTATAAGAGTGCGTCCGGCGGGTCGTGTCAGGAGCAGTTCAAATAGGGTTGTGTTGAATTTGTTAATCTGTTATTATTTAATTTGTTACAGTAGGTATTGTTGCTAATTTTTTGAAATAAACTTTGAGTAAAAGTTGTTTAATTTTGATTTCCTGAGAAATTTTTCTGGAAATCTGGAAACATATTTTATTGTGTAACAATTAGTTGGCAAAGAACTAATTTAAATATTGGGAGAGGTTTTCTCTAATTTTTCAAATTCAAAGGTGTTTATTTTGTAGATCTGCCATCTTTAATAAACTGAGGTGTATGAAGACAAACAAGAAACCTTTGTATTCGGTACAAAGTGCCTTTTGTATGACATGTTGGGGTGTTATCAGAATGTATTGTTGTCTAAGTCATACAGCTGTGCTTTTTGTTACTTTTCAGAAAGAAAAATAACAAAAACAACGACACTCTACAATGAAATTCTATACTTTTTTTCAAATTGTTTGCAAACAGGCGTTGTAGTCGAGGCCATCACAAAACCAGACGTAAGACCATGCACAAGCCCAGTCACAAGTAACAGCGTGAACAGTGACAAAGGAATGCTTTTGTTGCAGTTCAGTTGAGTAGCATGCAACTTGAATTCAGACTGAAGGTAGGCTTGTATCAAGTCGGACTTTTCTTTTATGCTCTTCCCTAGTCAGCCATCCCTTCAGCTAGCCGCACGGTACGCACTACACGGTCGTCGCGCGGCCCGGCAGACATATAAACGCATAGACCGCAACTCTTGCGCGTAAAACCGTGATTTTGAAAAGTATGAGCAATATGCGAAGCGATGGAAGGCAGCGTGTCCAGTCGCATTACCTGAAACGCACCGTACATTGCCTGCTTTTGTTTACATGTGCTCAATATGTTCACCTTTGAGCTCTTCTGTTCTGCTATCTCTTCTTTTCAAATGTTGCAACTGCATTGTTTTGAATTCCTAGGGGCCAGATTGAGTAAATAGATTTTTTTTTTTTACAATCGAAAAATGGCTTTATAGAATGTTAAAGCTGGAATTCTTCAACTATGCGTAATCTCCTATACAGAGGGGCGAATTTGCCCATAGTTTCGATTTAAGTCGGGCGCTGCGCAGATAACGAAAATCCCCTGTAGTTTTGAATAGGACCTGGCAGTCTATGCGTTATAGGTCTGTGAACTTGAACAAACTTTATAACGGGCCCCTCATTTGATAGCCTTTGTTGTACGTGTGTCATACATGTACGTCACCAGTCCAGGGTGCATTGCTTTTTATTGACTCAACATTTATTTCCGTTTAGCAATGTTTATGTCAAGTTATACACAAGATCAATAAATGAAAGATTTATATGACTACAAGAGCATTCGACTAAAATCAAGCATTTCGTCAAAAAGTCGTATTTTATTTATTTCATTTATATATTGTCATCCTACGGGGTTTTGAAAATAAAACATGCATTAATCAGGAGGAATCATAGAAATATTTTTATTGATCCCGAGTTTGGGTCGGATAGTTTCCAGTTTGGGTATTTCTTTCACAAAAACCCCCAAATTTCGGGCCTATTTTATAGGAGGGGCGGCCACATTCCGCTGAGCGCATAGTTTTACTACCATTTGGGGGTATCTTCGGGGAAAGGCGGAAAAAAAATTCGTTCCTAACCCCCATACAATTGAAACAAAAAGTGATATTCTGGCCATAATCTTGAATTCGTGAGAGTCGACAGTGAGCGCTTTTCGGTCTGATTTTGCACTGTTTTCTATGGGAGCGTATTGGTGCAGTGCAACCTCAGATGAACTGAACTCATAGTAGTCAGTGGACACAAGAGGGCGCAAAGCAAGTCTTAACGGCGCGTGTCTCGATATGTATCCAAAGCCGAAACGATGACGTCACTGAGAGATCCCGACTTGAGTCAAGTCTACACTGGAGGTCTTGTGAAGGTCTTAAATGGTCTCGACCACAACATTGCAAACAAGTTTATAGAAAGATATAATTTTAAAAGGTTCTCGCCTCTTTTTATTAATTTATAAACTTTAAACCTAGCTACTCAGACTTCACTTTATCACTGATTAAATTCATTGAACTGCATTTTTTATAAAATATTTACCCGGGCAAGTACTTTAATTCATAATACAAGTAAAAAAGCCCAAGGGATATTAGAGAGATATTTACCTCATGGTGTATCCGCAAACCCTCTACCTTGTCGTATTCCAACAAGGAAACCTTTAAGAGCTACTTAATATGAGTTCATTAAAGCATATATTTATCGAAATTCAAACATACCCCTTTTTTTCGTCCCATGCCTTAGACATCTTTGTTGAAGAATATTTCTGAGCTAAGACGTTTGAGACTGATTTATAAGACATTCCAACGTACTTCAATGTTATAAACTACGCATGCGCAGAAACCCACAAACCCGCCAGCTATTCACGTTTTCCGAATCCTCACTATGCGTCAACGTACGCGTATCTATAATGGAGATCAATGAGGTTGCACTACCGTGACTTTACGCGCCCATAGTACAAAATCGGACAGAAACATACCGAAGCGAGTAGTAGAGGGGGGAGAGATAAAGAGCATTAGGTATTTTCACTCACCCACTTGCGCAGCAGGGACTTCCCCCACACCCCGTGACCCGACTTCCCAAACCAGCACTCGCGGAGCCCCGAACACACAAAAGCGGGACTTTCCCCAGGGACTTTTCATCGCCGGGAAAATACTGGAGGCGCCGGAAAATTACATAGATTTCTCAACATTCTTCTAAAATTAGATGACTCTAACTTCAGTCACTAAATTTGAATACGCTAAATTAGTCGCCGTTCACGCGACGTGATTAATCGTCAACGGCTACGATCACAACGAAATTTAATTGCAGCAAAGTTGGACGTGTAAAACCAAAGGCATCGCGTTTGTTTAGTGAGAAAGACCAAGACCGGCAAGCAAGTTTACAAACCGAACGAAGTATTTGTTCCAGATGATTTATGCGTCGCTTAAAAAAGGAAAAAAAATAAATAGAAACTATAGAAAAGGATATGATAGACCATAAAACAAACGTTAATTGTTATTTTTGCCAAAACACAAGAAATTCAATTAACTTGATAGATTCGTACGATTGCTTTCGCTGTTTAAATTCCGACCGTTTATTTCAATGCATCGATTGTGAAGAATGTAACGACTGCCTCAGATGTAATAATTGCTCCTCTTGCGACGATTGCGGTAGATGTATAAATTGCGTGGCTTGTTTTAATTCACACGACTGCCAAAATTCTAATGCCTTGGACAGTTGCGAAAACTGTTACGAGTGTAGCAATTGTATAGAGTGTTTTGGTTGCACCGCTTGCACCTGCTGCGTGAATTGTGTCGAGTTGGAAGGAATGGATCACGTGGTGCTAGTAGACAGTAAGCATAAAAAGTTGCGGCACGCGCGAGAAAACGAGCCACTGCCCGATTCAGCGACTAAACTCGACTCCGATTTATACAAAATTGGGCTAATTATCGAATACGACGTTGATGTTGAACATTTAATTAAAGTAGAAATCCCGCCTGAGTTAATATACGCAGCCGAATAAAAATGAGAAAAACTTACGACAAAGCCGGAAAAGCATAACCATGTCAACCCAATTATACATCATTTCAGACGACCACGAGCGTCTCAATGCCGACGATTGCAATCCCAACGTCACCTATGGCCCCTTTGACCCGAGTAAATTAATAATTTCAAAACCCATGATTAAAGAGGGCACTCACGTGAGTCAATGTAGCTCGCCTATTTTTTATCATCAAAATGGTCAAGATAAACGCCTGTTGATTATGACGATAGAACCCTGTTATGGCATAAACTTGCTTTACAAATACTGCACTCGAGATGAACCACGGAAAATTTAGTAGGGCGTCAAATCTGCTACCAAATACAACAACCTACCGTGGAAATACTCGATCACATAAATTTAGCTGTTTATAGGTTTATCGAATCTCAAGTCGCCATCGGGTCCAACATTCGGTCTAATACCATAAACGCCTACAAAGCCAGTCGCGATATCGATGAACTTAATAAAATAGAATATGCTGTTAAGCAGCCTTACACGGACAAGCACCAGATGTAAGTTAAAATAGATCCCTATGCCTCTCTATTTGATCACCGAAAGCGCCCCATTGACTCGTCAAATATCGATAAATTTATCAATAACAGATGCGACACGCAATCATTTATTTGTCCAAAAGACGTATACTACGGTACTCACGGTTCACTGTCGTGCGGTGCCAGTGTTAGGTAGAGAGTGACAGCGACAATGTTATAAATTAGAAACGACGGACTAATTTCAAATAAATCGGCGTTGCAAGCGTTTAGCAGATATGGATCTGAATCTGAATCTTCCGTGAAATTAAAAGTCGATTAAATTTGAATAATTAACTAATGAATCAATTGAACCTCAGTTATTTCTCGGAATAACTGAGG